CCCCATCCTTTGTCGGATCTTCATCATCGTCTTTTTAATCATATTTGCGAAGCCTAGTTTGGGTGTTATCCAATATCCTAAGTATTTGAACTCTTTAACCCAATTGACAGTGATCTCACCTAATGTCGAATTCTTTTCTTTTACATTGTAAGGTATGTATTTAAGTAAATATTTAATTCACATATGAGAATCATTGACTTATAATTCAAACGTTGATTAATGATGGATCCAATCATGGAACTATGACACACTTGGTTCTTCATATTTCAGAAGATTATCGTTTGACAGGTCCTGTTGGAAATACAGTATCTGGTTTACAGTTCGATTCTAGCTATAATGGTCATATTCATGAAGACCATAAGCATGATTATACTAGATCTTATGCTTGATAAAGAACTTTCTAACTTAGCTTTTCACTTCCAGAAATGGACATTCTTTATGTAATGATTTACTGACGAACTATGTGTCTCATTTCAGTGATACTAATGGAGGAACTATCAAACAAGTCAGTGGTTGGAGGTAATTTTAAAAACTTTTAAAGCTTTTTTGACCTTTTTTATTCACTTTTTCTCGTACTCTTAGCCCTGGCTATACTTGATCAACTTTCGCAGATCCTACTTTATGATCTACACCTTCTTCAGAAAGTATTAATCATCTCCACTGTATGGTGAAAAATTTTACATGTACAACGTGCGGTCATTTTTCTATTAAACCAAATCCGGCTATAGTCGATTATACTGAAACAATGTTAGATAAACAGCAAATAAAAGAAGAAAGTGTGTCTAAGGAAGAAGAAAAACGATTGAAATCCGAACGTAAACTAGCGGAAAAATTAACATGTGGTGTGACAAAACAACATGTCATTGAAGATAATATTTCTCTGGGCTATCTGTTATTGATCAAACATGATAGCTACGACCGTTTATGGCCTGAAATTATTTTGGAATTCATTTTCTATGATGCATACGTTGCAGAATTACAAAAGTTGGGTAGAGAGAAATTAGATTTTTACGAACATTCGAAATTCTGTTCAGTTATTAATAGTAGTAGCGTCATTTATAATGGAACTACTCAGAGTATTAAAAACTATGATTTCGCTCCACATATGACATTGAGTGTGTTAATTACCTTAATGAATAGATCAGCTGTTCTAGTATTTAATGGTGAAATGTTTGAATCCAAACAAGCGATGAAAGCTTATTACCATCTTTTACATGTATTAATGCATTTTACTAATATTTATCCTGAATTAGGTACAATAAAAATATTTGTAAACTTCTAATAGAGTATCATTGATGTTTGTTTTTTTTTCTTCTTTTTAGAAGATAAAATTAATACAACTATAAAATATTTCTTAAGAGAATTACCTGGTCGTAATAAAAGAGTAGTACTCGATATTGGTGAATTTCTTATACAAATTGGATTCAACGAAAAACTTACTCAGAACTTGTTAGATGTACAAATCGAAGATTTTCTGGACACATTTCAATCGAGAAAAGTATCGTATCATCTGTGAATATTCAATTTGGAAATGGCTGAAACATTTATTTTTCGTAGTGTAAAAGAGTAAATGTCTCATTTTTTTACTCGGTCATCTAAAGCGGACAATTGATCATCATTCGTTCAGGTCAAAAAATATGAGCCCGTTCACGCATGAACACAGAAAATGAATGAAATATGAAAACAATACTCTGGACCGATAAGTTGTCGGATGTTTTCCGATGATTTCTCCAGCGGCTTCTAGTGAAATGTCCATTAATTTCTGACTGGAAATCTCGGAAAAATGACAGGAACTTGGAAGCAGAAATGTAGCAGACACATTTTTCTAGTTCTGATCAGAGTCAATCACTTAATTCTTGCTTTCAGGTTCCTATCCTTTTCCCAAGAAAAATCTGCTCATATTTCTTGATCTAGGTAGCATATTTAATTTTATTTGATCGTTACTAATGCTTTAATACTATGCGTTTTATTTCAGACGCTTAGATCGTTGGCATAGACTTTCATCAGCAGCTGTTGTTGAAAATGTTCAACGACGCCTGAAAGCCATTAAATCGATCGATCGACATAGAAAGCTCATTGAAGTCATACAAGTGTATGGATAGATTACGAGAAAATCACACCTATACCCAACTGCTTGATAAATGATAACATCGAGACAATCAAATTCATCAGTTTTATTCTTGAAACTCGTTCTTAAAGATCGTCTCCAATGATTAGTTTTCTGTTCTAAGTTTAATAGATTCTAATCTTCAGCTATTTTTTGAATTGATTCCCAATGTTTGTTTATCTTTTTTTCTTTAAAACTTTGTCCTCGGTTCATTTTGTTGAAAACCTAAACTTGATGTTATCGATTCAGATGACGGCATTTATAAATTAGCTGCCTGCTTGCGTGTGCGATTCTTTTTGTGGAACTCACATATATTTTCGAAGAAAATAGTGAGTGTAAGTTTTAAGTTCGAGTTTTTGCGGCTCCCCCCTCCCCCACCCCTTACAGACAGGCCCCCATTACAGACCTTAGCAACCAATAATAAAAGGTATCAGATTTTTGAG